AAACACCAGTGCAGAGCGCTTGACCCGTCCGAGCCGTGATGAACTCAATACGTGTACTCATTTAAGTTGTACGATGGACATGACTCTTAGAACGTAAGGGAGATATGCTCAACGCTTATACTTTCAAACAAAATCAATGTAGACTTGTGTGATTTCACCGTTCAATATCGTATATTCTACATAATTCCAATGTTAGTTGTCACTAAATCAACATTTTCAGCCTTCCCAAGTTAGGGGGTCCAATTCTCGAGTTCGTTCGGCTGGAAAAGTTGAAAAATGTTGATGAAATCAACAGAACGACACAACCGTCGTTTAACGGCACAAGTGTCGTTTTGCCTGGAAACACCTGTACAGAGCACCACGACCCTTCGAGACAAATATTCAGTTAGATGAACTCATTTAAGTTGTAGGATGGACACGTCTCTTACAACGTAGGTGAGATATGCTCAATACTTGATCAACATGAAAAAGAAAACGACACAACTGCCGTTACTGTTCTGAAAACGGCACTAGTGACATTTTAGTGTAAAAAGAATATCCACATTTTCTTTGAATCCACGTTAACAAGTTTCTTGCACTTTGTTGTATAATTCTATATATGAAATGTTAGTTGGAACATAAAGAATATCCATATTTTCTTCACAATTCCCTACATAACTCCATGTCCATTTGCCTTCTTCAATCTTTTTAAACTCAGCAAAATAGCATACATGTACCCATATCATTTCTACAGAATCTATAACTGCAAATAAAATAAAAAAGTTAAATAATTTACTCAAATATATATTAAAGTAATATGAAAATAGCTATCATATTTAAATTATCAAAGTAACCACATTATATTATCAAGAACGGACATACCATACCATAACATATATTGTTTGTATTGTCATTTTACATGGACGATAACAACTGTAGTGTCGTTCTACACTACATAAAATGCCTGGAGTATCGTTCGGTACTACAAATCGTCCAATAATTACGAAAATACACCAACAGTGAAAAAAATCAGCTAAAATATCATTTCATACTATATTCAACAATAAAAGGACCAATGTACATGAGATTTATAAAAATACCCTTCTCTTTTCTTCAAATATAATGGAGATTTCAATGTAGATAAATATAGAAGCTAAAATTCTTGTTCAAATGCTCAAAATGTTGGAGAAGATATGTGAGTAATATAATCAATAACAAGATTTTAGGAGGCGACAAACATTGGAGACGGAGAACACGTGGGTTTTGATACAAGATGAAATGGTGAATTTGATTGGATGAAAAGAGTGTATGGGTCTTTTACTTGATGGAGATATTTTAGACAATTTTTCATGTTTATTTATTGTATTTTTTAATTGAGGTCATTTGACCTATAAACATTGAGAATGAGTTTTTTTTCCAACTACTTTATTTGACTGAGTCTTTTAACAAAGAGTCCCTTAAAATAAATCAATAATTGTCCACACCATTTTGCAAGCAATTCTATCCATGCACAAAAATTGTTTTTCAGATCTACTCACATGAAAAATGAAACCAAAAAGCCAAGGCTAAACTCGTCATTTTGTACCAACAATTACCGTGCAAGTCGTAACCCAGTTCTGGACGCTCCGATTCGTGTAATTGCCCAGTCACAATCAGCCACGTGGAATCCATGACAATGAAATTCTACGTGTCAGTTTCTCATTCGAGTATGTCATCAACTTGTCCACGACAGTACTAGATCCAAACCAAGCGTAAACCTCAAAGAACGATCCATCTATATAAACAAAGCTCTCACTCTCACAAAACCATTCATGGCGATACTGCTGAGAAGATTACCGATGTTAAATCCTAATTTTCTCTCCCTAGTCCTTACTCTGTCTCTTCTTGTCGCGATTTCATCTGCGGGAGTCATCTTCGAAGAGCGCTTCGAAGGTACTATTCTCTCTAATTTAAGATCAATGTAATTTGGACTTCATTTTCTACAGTTCCACGAATTTTCTGTATTAGGCTAACTTAGGTTGCAATTTCGGATTAATTTGTTAATGATCGAAGTTTGATTTATTCGTTTGATTGAAGGATATGAAGTCTAAATATATAAATTAATACGTTTTTGAATAGATCTGTGATATTTTTTATGAAATCGCTCATTTTTTAACTTTTTGTCTGATATGAAAATGCTGAGTTAAAGAGACGAAGTGTTCAATCGATTCAATGTATGAACGGCGGTGTGACTGAATGTTATGGATAACTTGTTACTAATATATTATATTGGAAGATTAATTTTGACCTGGTCTAGATTTCAGTGCCTAGGCTTTTTTGATCTTTTCAATAAATGTTAAATGTATGTAATATGCAGATAATCAGAATCTATGATGCATGGAAACTTTTAAAATGCAAAGTTTTTGGAAACTCTCTGGAAATATTTCGATAACTCAAAAGTAGTTAATAAAATGAAATTTGGGAACTTTGTGGACACTTTATGGTAACCTTTTAGGAAACTTTGTTAGTAAAAATTCAGAAATTTTACCAACACAAAAAACTTAATCATGGGCTATAACTAAAAATTCTTCAAAATATGGGCTGTAATTATTACACTAGAAGAATTATAATGCTAATTATAACATAAACATGGATTTTCTAATTCTAGTGTCGGCCGCCCTTGGTAGATAAGTTATGTGTAACTTCCCACCAAATATCATTTAAGATGACAATGATTATCATGTTAAAATTTTAGTTAGATAAGATTGACTGCGGTAATTTTATTATTTAATTTATATTAAATAGTTTGTTGAAGTTAAATACTGCATGTTTGAAAACAAATTAATAATATTTACATAACATTCCAGCGACGTTTTGTGTCCTACTTTTTTGAGAAATAACATTTCCATATGGCGTGTTGTGTCCTATTTCGTTTACCATTTCCATTTCCATGCAACCTAGATCAGAATTGGTTTACTGCTGGAGTTCAGTTCGATCTTTTAGAACTTAAATTTGCTAGGAGAAAACTCTTGCTGCAATTTATGTCTGTGTATGTGGTTGTATTTGTGAATCCATATTTAACCCATGCACATTGTGCGCTGAGAGACTTTGTTCATAAGTGGGGATTGGGTTGTGGGTCGCGAGCTTTGTTTATTTTTATTCAGTGTAAAAGGTTGAGCTTTCTGTATTGGGGATGTCACATTTTGCTCTTTGGAACAAAGGTGCTTTGTGTATTATTCTAAATAATTACCACATCAAAAGTAAAAAAAAAAAAGAGTAAATAAGTGCATGTTTCCATCTTTTACAAAATGAAAATTTTTAAATGTGGTTTAAACTTTGTGGACACTTTATGGTAACCTTTTAGGAAACTTTGTTAGTAAAAATTCAGAAATTTTACCAACACAAAAAACTTAATGATGGACTATAACTAAAAATTCTTCAAAATATGGGCTTTAATTATTACACTAGAAGAATTATAATGCTAATTTTAACATAAACATGGATTTTCTAATTCTAGTGTCAGCCGCCCTTGGTAGATAAGTTATGTGTGACTTCCCACCAAATATCATTTAAGATGAGAATGATTATAATGTTAAAATTTTAGTTAGATAAGATTGATTGCAGTAATTTTATTATTTAATTTATATTAAGAGTGTGTTTGATCCACTATATTTTGAAAGAATGTATTATAAAATAGTAGATTGATGGAGAATGTGTGGTTGAAAATGAAGGAAAAGTTATTGATGTGATTGAAAATCTTATTTTATTGAAAAATGTGGTTGAAAATGAGTAGAAGAATGAGAATGAAAAAAATAATGTGTAGAATAGTAGATTGATAGAAAATATATGGTTAAAAATGAAGGAAAAGTTGTTGATGTGATGGAAAATATTATTTTATTGAAAAATGTGTGGTTGAAAATGAGTAGAAGAATGAGAATGAAAAAAATAATGTGTACCAAACAGGAGCTAAATAGTTTGTTGAAGTTAAATACTGAATGTTTGAAAACAAATTAATAATATTTACATAACATTCCAGCGACGTTTTGTGTCCTACTTTTTTCAGAAATAACATTTCCATATGGCGTGTTGTGTCCTTTTCCGTTTACCATTTCCATTTCCATGCAACCTAGATCAGAATTGGTTTACTGCTGGAGTTCAGTTCGATCTTTTAGAACTTAAATTTGCTAGGAGAAAACTCTTACTGCAATTTATGTCTGTGTATGTGGTTGTATTTGTGAATCCATATTTAACCCATGCACATTGTGCGCTGAGAGACTGTTGTTCATAAGTGTGGATTGGGTTGTGGGTCGCAAGCTTTGTTTATTTTTATTCAGTGTAAAAGGTTGAGCTTTCTGTATTGGGGATGTCACATTTTGCTCTTTCGAACAAAGGTGCTTTGTGTATTATGCTAAATAATTACCGCATCAAAAGTAAAAAAAAAAAAAAGTAAATAAGTGCATGTTTCCATCTTTTATGTTTACTTTTAAAAATTTACACCAAATCATTATTTGTGTTACTGATATATTTTGCTGTGTGAGTTCTAAAGATGGATGGGAGAATCGATGGGTCAAATCCGACTGGAAGAAAGATGAGAACATGGCTGGTGAGTGGAATTACACCTCTGGCAAATGGAATGGAGACGCTAACAACAAAGGTATTAATGCCAACATGTGATATGCATCTGCAACATATAAGTATGTACATTTGTACTTAAAATAAAACATTCAAATGGTACCAATTTCTATGTCTATAATGCAGGCATCCAGACCAGTGAAGACTACAGGTTCTATGCCATATCTGCTGAGTTTCCTGAATTCAGCAACAAGGATAAAACCTTAGTTTTTCAATTCTCCGTCAAACATGAGCAGAAGCTCGACTGTGGTGGTGGATACATGAAATTGCTCAGTGGTGAAGCGGATCAGAAGAAATTTGGTGGTGACACTCCATACAGGTTATGCATATAAACTATTTTCTTCTGGAAAATTTTCTATCGTAGTCTTCTATCCCTGCTTAAGTTGCTGATTAGTTGTATTATATGGTTGTCTACAGCATCATGTTTGGACCAGATATTTGTGGTTACAGCACCAAGAAAGTCCACGCAATTCTAACATACAATGATACAAATCATCTGATCAAGAAAGAAGTCCCATGTGAGACTGACCAACTAACTCATGTCTATACTTTTATCCTTCGGCCTGATGCTACTTACAGCATCCTCATAGACAATGTGGAGAAGCAGTCTGGTAGCTTGTACTCAGATTGGGATCTTCTCCCACCAAAGCAGATCAAGGATCCCGAGGCAAAGAAGGTAATTCATGTGCATTTATACAAGAAATTCATTTCAATTTATGTATAACTGTTAGCTAGTTATGTTTAACAACATAACATGTGCATGTTGATTACAGCCCGAAGATTGGGATGATAAGGAATACATTCCTGACCCTGAAGACAAGAAGCCAGAGGTAAATGCACTAAAATTTTTTATCCTCTGTGATTAGTTTAAAATGAAAAATATTATACGAGGCCACGTTATATTCATTTGATAACTAATTCATATATCTTCTCTTTCTGAAGGGTTATGATGACATCCCAAAGGAGATTACAGATCCTGATGCCAAAAAGGTAGTCATAGCAATTTATTTATTTATTTTTTCAATCCCATGTATCAAAGTCCGCTGATCTATATACTTACCCAAGTAAGATTTTTTGCTACTGCAGCCTGAGGACTGGGATGATGAGGAGGATGGTGAGTGGACTGCGCCAACCGTTCCCAACCCTGAGTATAAGGGCCCATGGAAGCCAAAGGTTTGTTGACTCTAAATTTTCGTTCAGTGACGATAATGAAATCGACTGCTTGCAACTAACTTTGACCTTTCATCAGAAAATCAAGAACCCCAACTACAAAGGCAAATGGAAGGCACCAATGATTGATAACCCTGGTAGGTAGTTTCTCTTTTCAGCCTTTTCTTGCATCACTTTAGCACCATGAAGTATTAAATGTTACCAAATTTAAATGTTGTTATTACAGACTTCAAAGATGACCCAGATATCTATGTTTACCCGAAGTTGAAGTATGTAGGAGTTGAGTTGTGGCAGGTAAAAGAAACATCTTGTCTTTGGGATATGATTTTGTTTCAATTAACAACTTACAATTAGCTGAGCGTTTTATACATTTTAAAGGTGAAATCTGGAACACTGTTCGACAATGTCTTGGTATGTGATGATCCTGAGTATGCTAAGCAGCTAGCTGAAGAAACATGGGGCAAGCAAAAAGATGTATGTGGAATATGATTCTGAAAGCTGCTTCTCTTCCACCTATTCTCAAAACCCCCTGTTTCCTTTTCAAACCATTATCTGCTTATTAACATGCAAATGATATTGATTCTGCAGGCTGAGAAGGCTGCATTTGACGAGGCAGAAAAGAAGAGAGAGGAGGAGGTACCGTTTTAACTTATTATGATTGAATTTTCTGTTGTTGAGTCTATTTTCCACTAAATTCTTCTTATCCAAATACCCCACTACAGTAGTTGTTCCGTAAACAGTCTTGTTCATTGTGTATTCATTCTGGAAGAACTCTGCCTCGCATGAATCTTACAGGTTTTTGTTTATTTTTTGTTTTTTTTATCAAATCCAGGAATCGAAGGGTGATCCAGTTGATTCTGATGTAAGTCCTCAAACCTTTCGTTCTTTCATTTTTTTTGTTCAAAGACTAGACCGTATATAATTTTCATTTATTTCTCCCTTGCGTCCTGATCTGGCTGCCCTTCCCTTTTCCAGTCTGAGGATGGAGATGATGATGCTGATGATGCAGAAGGCAACGATACCGATGACGACTCCAAATCAGACTCAGCAGAAGATGAAGCCACCTCAGTGGATCATGATGCACATGTACGAGGATCTTCAGTTTTGTCACTTCATATATCATTGATCCCATTTTGCTTTTTGCTAATTTCACTTGTGCTTCTATTCTGCAGGATGAACTATGAGGTGCTTATATAAGGTTATTTTCTGCCCACAGCAGGGAGTTGCTCGGGCAGTTAGCACTCGAGTTTTCCAATTTCTACTTATATTTTTTGGCTGTAGCTTTTTGTTTTAGGGAAAAGAAAGGCTGCATGAAACATTTGTGGCTTAATTGCTTTGATTTCTCGTGACTCAGACATTAGAACTAAAAGAGAAACATGTTTCGTTGTTTTAGAGAGATGAAATAGTTAAGAATGTATGAAGCGACTCCATTGTTGTGATTTTTATTCTAATTTTATTACATTTTTAACCTACGCAAAAGCACTGCCATGGAGTATAGGTATAGACAATTTTTAATCTTTTTCTTATTTAGCCCCCTATTTTTAATTTGAGTATAACTAATTTAAACCACATAGTTTATGTTTATGGGGTTTTAGAACTTTTCAAGATTTTTAATTATCACTAAATAGGGGCTTAATATCGTTTAATATTCAATTAACTTTTATCAAAAATTATTATTAAAAATCTGATTTTAATTATTACCAAATAGGGGTTTAATATTGTTTAATATTACTTATCTACCTTATCATGAGTTAGATACTCAATTATGCAATGGGGATTATTTTACAATGAGAGTCCATCTTTTTTCTTTATTAAAAAATGGGATTTTATATATCTTGATCGGCATGTCAAGTATTGTCTAACAAAATCTATAATAAAGTCTTCACCATTTTCATCCTCTGTGGCAAGTTATTGAGAAACAAGCGTACGAAACGTGGTAGTTTCAAAAATCCGCACTAAGCTTACCAGTGTCGTGGAATCTTGAGATTATTAAATCTTATTCAAATTAATTTTCATAGTAATATCGAGATTAAAACATTTAATAATGAGATCAATGGAACATACTGTTGACTTGTTCTCAATTGTATTTAACATATTGTATCAAGGCAGTTGCATCACTATTAGATGACCAGCTATTGCGGCATCACCATTGCACACCAACTAGAGCATGCGGTTAGTTGATTAGTTGCTTAAGTCCACGTGTCCATCTTGTATTGGCTTGTACAGTTAGAGTTAGTTTATTCTCATTTTCCTATTTATATCACAATGCAGTGTAATGTACTTTCACTTTTTGATTGAATACAATTGAGCTCGTTAAGAAGAAGTTAACAAGTTACCATAGAGAGCACTTTGTGCTTCTTTTGTCTGCCTTTTTCCATTTCAATTGAATACTCTGAATCTTCAATCCCTCCGATCAAATCTCTTCTGATTCGTTATGACATCGGGTGCAGATGCACCAAATCAGAATAATTCCACTTCATCAGTGAGCAATTCCGCCATTGATGATGGATCTAGTCCTACTACATTCATCATTTAGATAACCTGGGGCTTGTGCTTGTGTCACAGCCTTGAACTGATGACAATTATGTTTCATGGAATCAAACTATGGTGATCGCTCTATTCGTGAATAACAAGCTCGACTTCATTGATGGATCATTATCCAGACCTGAAGACAATAATGATATGCTTAAAAATTGGATTTGTAGCAACAACATAGTCATTTCATAAATACTAAACTCAGTCTCAAAAGAAATTTCTACTAGTGTCATTTATTCCGAATCTGCACAAGATATATGAATTGATTTGAAGGAGCGATTTCAGCAGAGGAATGGGCCTCACATATTGCAATTAAGGCGTGAGTTGATGAATCTTACTCAAAGACAGCCACGTGTTAGTGTCTATTTCACCAAATTAAGAACAATTTAGGAAGACCCCAGCAACTATAGACCAATACGCTCTTGTGGAAAGTGTGTTTGTGGTGGCACTAAGAAGCTTGAAGAACACTACCACATGAGATATGTTATGTCGTTTTTAATGGGGGTAAATGATATTTTTGCTCAAGTCAGGGGACAATTGTTACTCATGGATCCCATACCTCCCCTCAACAAGGTATTCTCCATTGTTTCTCAAGAAAATATCAAAAGAATGTTAATATCAATACTAGTACTTCTGGCACTGGAGACTCTATGGCATTTTATGCTAAAATTAATTCGAAGAAAGCCAACATAGGATAGTTGTATAATAAGTTTCAAAGGGAGCAAATGCCTATGTGCACTTACTAAGGACATACATGTCATTTGGTGGATAAGCGTTATAAATTGCATGGTTATCATCCTGGTTATAAGACAAATTCAGGAAACTTCATGTAAACTTCGAACCCTGTTCAATATCAGCAATTGATAAGCATGTTGAGCAGTCATCTGGCTTCTGCAAAGGTCGACACATGAACGGATGAACATTCTAATCCTGTGTCAAGTACATGCTTTTCTATTTCTCTTAATCCATGACTTAATTCACCTAGACATTAACCAGCCATATTTGCTTCAACCAATCAACCTTTCGTACTATGAAATCGGTTAAGAATGTTCATGTTACTTTGCAAATCATGTGAGAATTCTTGTAAAGTTCATTGTAACTATGAAAATTGGCCATAATCTGATATTTGAAGATGTGTTATATGTGTCACAATTTAAATTCAACCTGATGTCACTTAGCTCCTTAACTAGGGATTCTTGCATTGATGTCAGATTATTCACTAACTTATGTGTTATCCAGGATATGCACAACTAGAAGATGATTAACAAGCGTACAAGAATTGTTGTTTTATACATAATGACTGATTTCTCATCTGGTACAGTATAAGTAAATAGTTGCAACACTTACTTTGATAAAGTATGTGTTTCTATTTCTTCAGCTGTAAATAATGTGAATGCTCTTACCTAGCATCACAGATTAGGTCACTTATCTTTTTAGAAGTTAGCTTTGTTAAATGACCAGTTATATTTGAGTTGTAATAAATACAGAAATTACAAATATGTTCCTTGTAATGTTTATCGATTGGCTAAACAAAGAAGGCTTTCCTTTATCTCAAATAATTACTTGTCTGTTATACTTGGGGGCCCTATCACATTCCAACTCACTCTGGCTCTTACTTTGGTGGATGATTGTACACGTTCCACATTGGTTTACATTATGAAACATAAATCAGATGTAGGCTGCAATTCCCAGGTTCTTTAAGATGATTGAGACTCAATTTTATAGTCATAAAGAAGTTCAGATAAGATAATGTACTAAAGTTATAATTTATTGATTTCTTTCATTCTAAAGGAGCCACTCATCAATTTTCTTGTGTTGAAAGGCCTAAACAAAACTCGATAGTTGAGAGAAAACACTAGCATTTGTTCAATGTAGCTATAGCATTGTATTTTCAGGCTCAAATTCCTATTCGGTTTTGAGGAGAATGTATATTGACCGCTACATTCCTTATCAATAGAACCACATCCTCCATTATAAAAAAAAATCCCCATTCTACCCTCCTGTGCAACACTCTAGTAGACTACAACAACCTTAAAGTGTTTGGAAGTCTATACTTTGCATCCACTCTACTTTTTCATCTATCAAAGTTTCATGCTAGAGCTAGAGCCTGTGTCGTTGTAGGATACCCTACAAGAATAAGGGAATACAAACTATATGATATTTTGTCTAAAACTTTCTTTATCTCCAGAGATGTTGTTTTTCTTGAACATATATTTTCCTTCTAATTTATCCCTCATCATTCTGAAACAATTGACCATTTTCCTGATATTATGATACCTATATTTGCTTCTGATATACATGTTTCCCTTTCACATTCTAGAATTCTTGTTGTACCAAAATGAGGTTGCAAACAGTATAGTTGAGTTGCAGCCTAACTCACCTCCCATCGCTGATCATTCTTATATGCTTAATGCTCCCAGAAGATCTTCTAAAGTCAACAATCCTCCTTCATATCTTAGAGGCTTTAACTGCAATCTCCTAACCAACACTCAGCAATCTCATGATATTTCGCCCTATCCCTTATCCAAATATGTCTTTTGCAAAGCTTTTTCTCATTTTCACTGTCATTTATCTCTCAAATATATCTTCTAACTTCAAACCCCAATACTATCATCAAGTAGTTACTGCAGCATCGCCATTGCACACCAATTGGAGCCAGCCGTTAGTTAGATTAGTTGATTAAGTCCACGTGTCCATATTGTATTGGCTTGTACAGTTAGAGTTAGTAAGTTTGTTGTTCTCATTTTCCTATTTATATCACAATGTAGTGTAATGTACTTTCACTTTCACTTTTTTTTCCTCTTCAATTGTTCAATAGTATTTTTGATTTTCTAATTAAAAACTCCATTTTTATTCATCTACATGCATATGGAAAAAGGTAATCTAATTGGATGGAAAATCCCTTATAGGAAAAGTTGTAAATAAATTAACCTACAAGTATATTGGGAGACGAAGAGGTGTTTGTTAATTGAGATCTGTCGTTCATTTATGTTGTCCCCCCAATTACAAATTGAAACATTATCAAAAATTAAAATTGATGGCAACTTTAAATTCTTATGATGTATCAATTTGTAATTGGATGGACAACAAATTAGACAGTAAAAATGGACACAGATTTCCACTCATTTGTTAATACTATTTATGGAATGGACTTTGTAAATTGGAATTTAGAAGTTTGTCAAACTTGGGAACGGTAGGCTACTTGGGACTTTTTAGCAGTGTTCTAAAACGCGGTAAAATGCACCGTGTAGGCGCGATAATGCGTGAAGCATCGTCAAAACGCCTCGCATTCGGGGTAGACGTGTAAAAATGCGGTCAACACTAGCGTTGACCACCCAAATGCATGCAAATGCGCGATAACGTGCGCAAAAGTGCGCATTCTTTAAATTTTTTTATAGTTTCATTTAATTTTACCATTTATTAATTTACATAATATAACATAAAAATAAATTCTAAACCCTTCAACTTCAGCCCATCAATTGACAGGCTCATGAAGGTGATGAAAATGAAAGTTTAGTTAGCCCATTTATTTATAGGCAAAATTTCTTAGCCTTCATCTATAGGATTTCGATGTGGGATCAGTTTTGGCTGTGTTACTCAAGCAAGAATTGAAATTCTTTAGAATGAAATTGAAAGTAGACGGCATCTTCATTTTCCCCTTGTGATTGGCTCGACAGCAATGGGGGTGGCGAGCATGGTGGTCGGAGGTTTGGAGCTCCATTGCTTCTCTTTCCAGTCTCCTCTCTACAAGAGAAACAGAGAGGTTAGAGATTTGGGGAAGGCACGGCTCGGTGGAAATTCCCTCAGGTCTGTATATTGGAATTGTGTGGTTTAGGTGGATCTTGTAATTAGGGTTTGGTTGTTTGTATTTGATTTGTTTTTGAATTGTTAATTGGGGTTTGGCAGAATGATTGTGGTTTGTGAATTGTTTGATGGATGAAATTCTCGATGTTGAACTGGGTTTAGAGTCTCTCTGTTTATATGGTATTCAACCGGGGGATTTTGGGCTTGATCTTCTATGGAGAAATTGTAAGAACATCAAGAAACTTCAGCTGAAGTGCTATGAGAGTCTAGGAGATTACGCTACCTTTTCGGGTTTCATTATGCGTCAAAAGGGTCTTTGAGAAGTGGAATATTGAGAACTTGTAGGAGTATTGTTCAGCGGCTCTGCCAAACTTCGCATTATCTTCAGGGGAATCTTCGTTGGGTTCAAGGGACGCCGGGAGTTGTTATACTAATGATGTTAATAAGATTAATGGTATCAATAAACACGATTTATTGGATGATGACGAGGAGGGGGACGTTTGCCGGATTTGTTGGAACCTTGGCGACGGTGATAATCCCCTGCGATACCCCTACGCTTGCAGTGGAAGCATTGAGTTCGTTCACCAAGATTGCCTTCTTCAATGGCTCAATCACAGCAATGTGAGGTTACTAGTTATCCATTCTTCTTCAATTGTTCAATGGTATCAGAGCACTTTGTGCTTCTTTTGTCTGCCTTTCTCCATTTCAATTGAATACTCTGAATCTTCGATCGCTCCGATCAAATCTCTTCTGATTCGTTATGACATCAGTAATGGATGCACCAAATCAGAATATTTCCACTTCATCATTGAGCAATTCCGCCATTGATGATGGATCTAGTCCTACTACATTCATCATTTAGATAACCTAGGGCTTGTGCTTGTGTCACAGCCTTGAACTAATGACAATTATGTTTCATGGAATCAAACTATGGTGATCGCTCTATTCGTGAATAACAAGCTCAGGATCATTATCCAGACCCGAAGACAATAAAGATATGCTTAAAAATTGGATTTGTAGCAACAACATAGTCATTTCATGGATACTCAACTCAGTCTCAAAAGAAATTTCTAATAGTGTCATTTATTCCGAATCTGCACAAGATATATGAATTGATTTGAAGGAGTGATTTCAGCAGAGGAATGGACCTCACATATTGCAATTAAGGCGTGAGTTGAAGAATCTTACTCAAAGACTGCCATCTGTTAGTGTCTATTTCACCAAATTGAAAACAATTTAGGAAGACCCCAACAACTACAGATCAATATGCTCTTGTGGAAAGTGTGTTTGTGGTGGCACTAAGAAGCTTGAAGAACACTACCGGATGAAATATGTTATGTCGTTTTTAATGGGGTAAATGATACTTTTGCTCAAGTCAGGGGACAATTGTTACTCATGGATCCCATACCCCCTCTCAACAAGGTATTCTCCATTGTTTCTCAAGAAAAATATCAAAGGAATGTTAATATCAATACTAGTACTTCTGGCACTGGAGACTCTTATGGCATTTTATGCTAAAATTAATTCTAAGAAAGCCAACATAGGATAGTTGTATAATAAGTTTCAAAGGAAGGAAATGCCTATGTGCACTTACTAAGGACATACAGGTCATTTTGGTGGATAAGCGTTATAAATTGCATGGTTATCCTCCTGGTTATAAGACAAATTCAGGAAACTTCATGTAAACTTTGAACCCTGTTCAATACCAACAATTGATAAGCATGTTGAGCAGTCATCTGGCTTCTACAAAGGTCGACACATGAACTGATGAACATTCTAATCCTGTGTTAGGTACATACTTTTCTATTTCTCTTAATCCATGACTCAATTCACCTAGACATTAGGTGGTGTATTCAGGAGCAACCAATCATATTTGCTTTAACCAATCAACCTTTCGTACTATGAAATCAGTTGAGAATGCTCATGTTACTTTGCAAATCATGTGAGAATTCTTGTAAAGTTCATTGTGACTGTGAAAATTGGCCATAATCTGATATTTGAAGATGTGTTATATGTGTCACTTAGCTCCTTAACCAAGGATTCTTGCATTGATGTCAGATTATTCACCAACTTATGTGTTATCCAGGATATGCACAACCAGAAGATGATTAACAAGGGTCAAAGAATTGTTGTTTTATACATAATGACTGATTTCTCATTTGGTACAGTATAAGTAAATAGTTGTAGCACTTTGATAAAGTATGTGTTTCTATTTCTTCAGCTGTAAATAATGTGAATGCTCATCACGGATTAGGCCACTTATCTTTTCAGAAGTTAGCTTTGTTAAATGATCAGTTACATTTGAGTTGTAATAAATATAGAAACTACTTGTAATGTTTATCGATTGGCTAAACAAAGAAGGCTTTCCTTTATCTCAAATAATCACTTGTGTGTTATGCTAGGGGGGCCCTATCACATTCCAACTCACTCTGGCTACAAGTATTTCCTTGCTTTGGTGGATGATTGTATACGTTCCACATTGGTTTACCTTATGAAACATAAATCAGATGTAGGCTGCATCATTCCCAGGTTCTTTAAGATGATTGAGACTCAATTTTATAGAGTCATAAAGAAGTTCAGATCAGATAATGTACCAAAGTTATAATTTATTGATTTCTTTCATTCTAAAGGAGTCGCTCATCAATTTTCTTGTGTTGAAAGGCCTAAACAAAACTCAATAGTTGAGAGAAAGCACCAGCATTTGTTCAATGTTGCTAGAGCCTTGTATTTTCAGGCTCAAATTCCCATTCGATTTTGAGGAGAATGTATATTGACTGCTACATTCCTTATCAATAGAACTACATCCTCCATTTTACGAAAAAAATCCCCATAGACACTCCTGTGCAACACTCTAGTAGACTACAACCACCTTAAAGTGTTTGGAAGTCTATGCTTTGCATCCACTCTACCTTCTCATCGATCAAAGTTTCATCCTAGAGCTAGAGCCTATGTCGTTGTAGGATACCCTACAAGAATAAGGGAATACAAACTATATGATATCTTATCTAAAACTTTCTTTATCTCCAGAGATGTTGTTTTTCTTGGACATATATTTTCCTTCTAATCTATTCATTCTGAAACAATTGACCATTTTCTTGATATTATGATACCTATATTTACTTCTGATATACATGTTTCCCATTCACATTCGAGAATTCCTGTTGTACCAAATGAGGTTGCAAACAGTACAGCTAAGTTGCAGCCTAACTCACCTCCCATCGCTGATCATTCTTATATGCTTAATGCTCCCAGAAGATCTTCTAAAGTCAACAATCCTCCTTCATATCTTAGAGGCTTTCACTATAATCTCCTAACCAACACTCAGCAATCTCATGATATTTCGCCCTATCCCTTATCCAAATATGTCTCTTGCAAAGCTTTTTCTCATTCTCATTGTCATTTATCTCTCAAATGTATCTTCTAACTTCAAACCCCAATATTATCATCAAGTAGTTAAACACGATCATTGGAGAGATGCTATAGCATCTAAATTGAATGCTAGATGAATAACACCTGGTCTGTTACAAAACTGCTTGACGGGAAACATTTTATAGGCTATATGTGGATTTATAAAATAAAGTATAAATTAGATGGCATCATAGATAGATACAAGGCTCACTTGGTGGCTAAGAAATATATTCAAAAAGAGGGATTGAATTTCATAGAGACCTTCTCACATGTTCCCAAACTTGTTACAATCAAAGTTCTTCTAACAATAATAGCTATTAATAATTGAAACATCACACAACTAGATGTCAACAATGTTTTCTTCAATGGAGACCTCTTTGAAGAAATATATATAGACTTACCCTTGGGATACAAAAATCATGCTGGTTCTAGAATTCAGGGGGAAAATATGCTCTATAGACTTCATAAATCAATTTATGGCTTTAAGCAAGCATTAAGTCAGTGATTTTCTAAATTCTCCAATGCTCTTATTGATCATGGTTTTAAGTAATCAAACTCTCATTATTCCTTGTTTACCAAAGGTTCTGACAATACTTTTGTTGCTCGTTTCGTCTATGTAGATGACATTATCATCACTAGGCTTGATCATTAGGAAATTGACTAACTGAAAGCCTTCCTGCATAGTCAGTTTAAGCTTAAGGATCTAAGCAGGTTAAAGCATTTTCTTAGGCTAGAAATACAAGGTCACAAAAGGGCATCTTCATGTCCCAACATCAATATACTCTATAATTACTTGAGGATGCTTGCTTCATAGCATGTAAACCAGCTGTATTACCTATGTATCCTAAAACTAGACTAGCTCTTTTGAAGGAAAACCTATTCCTAATGCATCATGTACAAAAGGCTAGTTGCTTGCCTTTTTTACTTAATAATCTCTAGACTTGACGTCACATTTTTCGTTCATAAGCTAAGTTAATTTTGTCACAACCCAGACAACCTCACTTAGATACAATTCATCATCTCTTGCAATATATCAAGGCTACCCCATGTCAAGAAATTCTATTTTCTACACAATCTTCATTCCAATTGAGAGCATTTGCGAATGCAAATTGGAGATCTTGTCTTGATTCAAGGAAATCAGGCACGTGTTTTTGTGTTTTTCTTGGAGATTCTTTAGTTTCTTAGAAAACTAGGAAGCAAACTACTCTATCCAGATCTTCAGCTAAAGCTGAATACCGTGCATTAGCTTCTACTGCTAGTAAACTAGTTTGGCTTACTCAATTGCTTCATGCTTTTCATGTTTTAACTAATGATCATGCCTTAATAGTTTGTGATAATCAAATGGTGATTCACATTGCTTCAAATCCTATTTTTTCACGAACGACTAAGCACACAGAGATCGATTGTCATTTTGTTCATGACAAGGCGACTAATGTTTCTATCAAGTTATTGCCCGTTCGTACTCATCATCAATTAGCTGACATTTTTACAAAAGCTTTACCAACCTCCATATTGTTTCTTTTATTATCCAAGATGGCTGTTAAGAATCCTCACATTCCATCTTGAGGGGGAGTAACATATTATATCAAGACAGCTGCATCACTATCAAATGATCAACTACTGTAGCATTGCCATTGCACACCAACTAGAGCCAGCCGTTAGTTAGATTAGTTGGTTAAGTCCATGTGTCCGTATTGTATTGGCTTGTACAGTTAGCGTTAGTAAGTTTGTTGTTCTCATTTTCCTATTTATATCACATTGTAGTGTAATGTACTTTCACTTTTTGATTGAATACAATTGAGCTTGTTTTCCTCTTCAATTGTTCAATAGTATTTTTGATTTTCTAATTAAAAACTCCGTTTTTATTCATCTACATGTATATGGAAAAACGTAATCTAATTGGATGGAAAATCCCTTACAGGAAAAGGTTTAAATAAATTAACCTACAAGTAGAATGGGAGACGAAGATGTGTTTGTTAATTGAGTTCTGCCGTCCATTTATGTTGTCCACCCAATTACAAATTGAAACATTATGAAAAATTAAAATTGATAGCAACTTTAAATTTTTATGATGTATCAATTTGTAATTGGATGGACAACAAATTAGACAGTAAAAATAGACACAGATTTCTACTCATTTGTTAATACTATTTATGCAATGGACTTTGGAAATTGGAATTTAGAAGTTTGTCAAACTTGGGAACGGTAGGCTACTTG